TACATACATTACATACATTACATACATTACATACATTACATACATTACATACATTACATACATTACATACATTACATACATTACATACATTACATACATTACATACATTACATACATACATGTATATATATATATATGCGTTAATTATATATGCATGTGTGTGAGTGTGGTTGTTTGTACATTTGTCATTTTTTAAGATATATGTACATGCAGAGAGATATAGTGAAGTAGATATAGGTTTGTGGAAATTAAATACCTAAAGCAAATAATTAATGTAAAAGTGATATAGACAAGAATGTGCATATGTATATGGGGAGTGATGGGGAGTGTGCGTCTTTATATATATATGTGCACAAATGAACATATATACAATGCAAAGTCCAACCAGGCGGTTTATCCAAGTGACAAAAATCAAGATTGACCCCATGGCTGCCACTAACATCATGGTCTTCACAGTCTCCAGCAAGCCCCCAATAATAAACCAAAGGCCTGACATCGCAGGGGAGGCGGATGCCAGTGGGAAAACCTGGTGACGTGCAAAAAAAAAATAGATCACTAAGAATATTGGGATTAATGAGGGTAAAACATGGTAAAACAATAATAAACCACCCCATTTTTTTTGGAGGATTTACAGTATACCAATGTATACCACTGATTTATGGTGATTTGGGGGATTGTTTATGATTGTTTCATATTGTTTCAATCACTTTATAACACAATCTATGAATTTCACCTCTCTAAGCCTCTGAAGACACATTTGGGTCCAAAAATTCGAAGGATGTTCAAGCCCATTCGCATGGTACCCTCTGGTAAACTAACATAACTATGGAAAATCACAATTTTTAATAGGTAGATCAACTATAAATGGCAATTTTCAATAGCTATGTTAATTTACCAGAGATTACCAGAGGGTATATTTACTTTCATGGCTCAAATTTACACTACGCAAAGGTTGTCCAATCTTCCGAGGTCCCCAATGTTCAGAACCATACCATGGCCGGTGCCGCGTTCCGGCCTGAGAGTTTTTTCACGGTTCGAACGCTGCGCGCCACCCGTAGGCCTCATAAAAAGCTGCTCCGGTTTCTGGCGAGGTTCAATACGGAAAATATGGGAAAATGATGAGAAAATGATGGGAAAATATCAGGAATGCATCTGGCTGAATTAGAAAATCATTCACCAATCTGAAAGTAGCTATTTCCTTGCGGCCATTTGAGTGGATGATATTTCGTCCAGTGACATCACGACCTGAGGTCATTATCCAGATGATCCAGATTATGCCTGTTCAATCACACCCATCTGGGCAAATTCACCTGAAAAATTCCCCAAAACTGGGATCTTTCCCCGAGTCTTAAAACCATCATTCCAGCATATTCCAGGCTTCGATCACGACGTGAGGTCACTATAATTTATATACCTAGACCCATATAAGCTTCAGCCAAAAATAACATCACCAATGTGTTACCAGAGCGGCTCAGCACCCTGGAGCACTTCAGGGTTATCACATGTTATCACTGATCACTGATCACACTTAGAAACTGGTCAGTGATCATGGTTAGAAAATGACTTCCATTGTTACTAAGGTCCCATACTAGTGGCTATACAGATTTATGAGATTTTTCGAAGTGAGTCTCTCCATTTTTTGTATATCCCAGGGCCACTGGTGAATCATATATTCCCAATAATATCATTGTTTAGTTTTTTTTGGTCATAAATTGCCATAGAATATCATAACACACCATAAACTGAGGCACCCTCTGGTAATTTAACAGTTTGCTATGATTTTCCATTTTTTCAGATACATCGATCCAGATCTGGGCCATGTTCCATCCATTTTCCATAAAGTATGCGGCAATGTCATAAACCACCCATATTAATTGATGGTTTCAATCGCCATCAAAATCGTCCAGTTTCTGGTGCTGCATGGTGCTGCATCCTGCCTCGGAAGACCCTGAAGGCGCGAGCCAGTTGCGTCCCTGCAAGGGGTGTGAGCAACGTCATCATGCTGTCGTTGAAGCCCATGAGCACCTTAGGTGCTGCACGCAAGATGTCAATCAAGCAATATATGTCCGGGAAGTCATGTATAGATCATATACGTGTATATATATTACTATATATACATATCTGTGTGTGTGTGTGATTGTGTATGTATAATGTCACATATTGAAAGATGGAGTTTCTGGGAGGCTCTTATACAAACAAATCACCAACAAAGTTGGTTAAAATCAAACCATCAACTGTGTAGCTGGTGGTAATTGTAGTGTGCAAAGGTCTAAGGATTTGGCCAAAAACAAATCAATAATGGGTCGAGCAATTATGAGACAACCTGGTCATCTCAATGTGTCAGTCAAAGACCGAAGCTTTGTTTCAAATGTGTAAACCGATCTGTCAGGAAAGGTACATGGATCCTTGTAACCTGTGTGAAACTTGGCGAAGAAAACATGGTGTGCGAGGCGAGGATGAACCGGAGTTCTTAAATCGGTTAGCATCTTCCAAATATGTTGGGTTTGTCTGAAGGGGGCAAGGCCTTTGTGCCCAAATCTGTTGATTCTTTCGTGTTTTTTTCAAACCAGAGCAAGACGTACAGCTCATGGCTCATTGGTGTTTGGCCCGGTCCAGCCAGAAACACAGCCCCCCCACCATTTGGTGACAATAGAAAGTGGCCAAACCTCAAGCTGCTGGCTGATTAACGCTGGTGAAATGCCGTGGATGGTCAACGAGAAAAAACAAAAACTACCTCCAGCAGATGGCAAGCACCAAGGTGTAGTCAAAGACATTCCAATTATCGGCGAAGAATTCCCACCTGAGGGTGAGACAATTGGAACCCACAAAACCAAAGCCTTGGCAAACCCATCGTCCACAACTGGTCATTACTATATAGTTATTACTCATACCATCTCATAGCCACCAACCCGCATTGAGCAAGACTATGCACTGTCCTAGTGCACCCTCAACGACTTCATATGAGGTAGGCTGAGGGCAAGAACATTTCCAATCATATCAATATTGTCAATGTGGTAAACCCAATAATCAAAAAATCTCCAATATTACCATAAATGGATGGTAAATACCATCCCCAAATCGTAGGTTTATTCTTGAGCTTGCTACATTGCAGTATAATGTCACTGCTACCGTAGCCCTGTTGTACATAGAGAGGTGCCTCTGATGATGAAGCCGGATGAACCATTCTCCGATGAACACAGCTGCGAAGGACAGCTCCATCATCACAAAGAACCAGTGCCCCCCAGCTGCTGCAGAACGCTTGTCATCCACTTCAAATCCCAGGAAAATCGTATTGGCGATCAGCAAGACTACCTCAGGATCACTGGGAATGCCAAACAAAAACAACACAGTACCGTCCAGTACCGTGGATGGAGCGGCTTAGGAAATCATCACAACTGGAGTGTGAAGTTCCTCAGCTTGCCCCGAGGTGACCTATAGGCTCTCTGTGCAGTACCGGGGTGCAATGATTGCATTCAGGATGGGATGTGTCGCGATGTGCAGCTGTTTTCTCCGGATATCTTGCGCCCATTCGCAATTCATTTGCTGAAAGGCTGACTGCAACCTGTCGCGTCCAGAACCTAATGGCTTTGTCCAAATGAGGTATAGCGTGGTATTAGCCCTAACTTACATTGCTTCGTCATCAATGATCATCATATTCCCTCGTATTCCCTCGTATTGCCCATGAAATTGCAATTCTGGGGATGCATCCCCATATTCATACACACCAAGGTGACAAGCGTGGACAAAAGCCAGGGAATACCAATGATGTCCCTTGTTATCTGCTGGTGAAGAGTTGGCTTCGCATATGTACCCCGAGTGTGGTAGTATTGATCCTAAACCCCAAGTTTTAAAACATGATAGACATGAAGGTCTGTAATAGACACGAAGGTCTGTTGTTGGGTTCGCCACATTGTAACATGTTTGATTTACACATTTTCTGAACTAAAACCGCGTCTCACACAGACACAGTCTGACACACTAACACAAAAAAAAGGAGCTGCCCACCAGGAATTTCACTTATAATCATTAACCATTATTTAGTAGAAACATCTATAGTCAATTGCTATATCTATATCTATTAACCCACATTTCACCGGTCCCTGGCCAGGATTCCCCTAGGCCTCTTCCCGGGTCAGGCCTGACAACTGGCACCGGTTTTTGGCTCGTGAACCAGCGGTAATCGAAGATTCCTTGGCGCGGCGCAAGAGATTTAACCGCCGATCCCCCAGCCGACCGTCTGGTTGGTGGTTTCAACCGACCCCTGTCATAAAATTCATGTTCCAAACCACCAACCAGTTGTCAATTTCCGAGGAAACAACCATACTGGTTGACCTTTGAAGAGCAAACTAGCCAATAGCCAGGGAAAATTCATAGCAGATTGCTCTATACTGCAAGTTCTCCAGAAATGCATAGACCAAGTCTCCAGAAAAGCTCGAAACCGCTTTAGCCATGAAGACATGCTCACGCTGCTCACCTGTCATCTTGGCGCACGTTGCATGCACACCATGGGGGTGCAACATAGATTTGCAATCAGGAAGGTGAACATCTTCACATACTAGATCTTTTCATGCAACTAAATATGTCTACACTTATCCATCCAATGCTCATAGCAGCTCAACTCTGTGCACCCCATGGCCCAAATACATCCAAATACAGCGATATGTTGTGGTCACGTCCAGTATCCAGGCAGCTCTTTGAGTCTGGCGGGCGCCCGTGGTCTGTTGCCTTTTTGGCACATTTCGCTGCGTGCTGAGCAACTCAGCTGCCATTAACCTTCCTCTGATCCAATGGGGCTCCCGTCGTGCCCCAAGGGGGGCGTCCATGGTAAATCATAGGATGAAACATCGTTGATACACGGCGGAATAAGTATGAATAAGTCACATTTGGATCATGTGGGTGTGTATTTAAAATGGCTATATATGCCTAACATTGCCTAACACTGTCATTTCGATCGAGGAAATGATGATAAATTTATCGAATTTGGGGGCGCGCTAATTTCAGACAGACCCAAGTCTACGTTCTAAACTATGAAATTACTTTCTTTGAGTTATCCCCACCATGACATCCTATCTGACCTATATTCTGACATACCATCCGGAAGTATGTGTGTATATATATATATTTACATATTGGATATATATTCTGAATTTTTTCTGATGTTCTATTTGACATTTTTGGCATATACTCTGATAGTCTTTCTGGCATTCTATCAGGCATCTATTCTGACATTCTCTCTGACATGGCCACTGACATCTGGAGCTCATAACTGAGGTCCGGCAGTGCCCAGTGTGATCTGGCGCTCGGAGAGGAGGACGAGGAGGAAGTAACTCTGCTAAAATCATCTAAAATCTAGAGACTCTCGCCTGGCAGGTGGGGAAACAGAATAGCAATCTCCAAACTTCAAGACGGGACCCCACTGGAAGCTATGATACCAGGGCTTGGGAGCTCGGTCACCGGCTTGCCACCGGGCAAGAAAGGCTTCCCAAATTGGTTTGAAGTTTGCCAAAAAAAAAACTGTAGGTATACAACTTATACAACAATAAGAAAGCCTGGAAGAAGAAAAAATATCCAAGTAATGAGTGTATGTTTCATTCATTGAAATTCACATGATAAAATATCACAAAGAGATTGATAGTAAGAATGACCAGTCGTTGTAGTCATTTGGCCATTGGCCGCCCTATTTTTGAACTCTACCCGCATCTCAGCTCTTTTTGGAAGATTTCTTCTTCTCCTCCTTCTCGACCTTGCCGCTTTTCCTCAGGCTTGAAAGCGTTCTACTTGGTGGTTCACCCCAGTAAGTCTAGCACCATTTACAAGTCAGACTCACCCTATTTGCCCAACTTATCACCAAGTATATAAGCATACTAGGATCGGTAATATAACTTCACTAACTTACCAGTCTATGTTATTTGCCCAACGAAACATCCAACTTCACCCAGTAATTGGCGGATCGGTGAAACCGACTTTGCCAACTTGGATGTCTTGATCTGAACCCAGCCCACCCCTTCAGGGCCCCAAAATGATAAGTCTCTGGTAATCCAACATGGCCATGGGAAATCGTTCTGAAATGGGGGAAAGAAAACAGAATCATCCACGAATCAGGATTTTCGCCATGTTAGATGACCAGAGGGCAGGGCCCCAGGGCATCCAATAAATTTAGGCCATGGCATCATGGCCAAGCGATGCCAAGCCGCATCTGGCTGTGCAGGACTAATCTGATGACCAACAACGAAAAGTTGGAGAGCAGAGCCGCCAGCATGGCTCGGACGCCCAGCTCCCAATCCAGGCATCGAAGTCCAAACCAAATGAATGGCCCGCTGATGGTCCTGAGCCACCGACATCCAAAGAACCAACAGCAATGGTAAAACAGCCGCCCCAGCAAAAGGCGCAGAAGATGATGATAAAAATATGATAAATATATGATACGAATATGATAACTCTGGGTAAATTAGAATATTTCACTACCCTGAATTAAGGCCATATTGGGATGATTTCCCAATATCAACCATCATTCCCAGTGGTTCGCAGTGAGGTCGTTATAATTTACCCAGATAAAAAAAAAAAGTGATAATAATCAATGGCCATTTCAGGAACCTAAATTGGAGGTACCTACCATATATAAGGCCTACCCTCTGGTAATTTAACGTAGCTATTGAAAATGGCCATTTATAGTGGATTTATCCATTAAAAATTGTGATTTTCCATAGTTATGTTAGTTTACCAGAGGGTATATTTTTTAGGCCTAAATTTCAGGGAATATCCCAGCAAAATATGGCCAAAAATATGGTACTAACGTACCTCCATTTTAGGATCCTGGAATTCCCATTGAAATATATGATACCCTCTGGTAAACTAACATAGCTATTGAAAATCACCATTTTTAATGGGAAAATCCACTATTTCTATGGCCATGTTCAATAGCTATGTTAGTTTACCAGAGTGTAATAAAGATCAATGACAAATCAATGAATTTTAGATCTCCCAACTCTTCCCAGGGTCAGAAGCTTGGTGAGCTCTGCTAGGGCCTCGAGGTAATTTTTACAGCCTTGGGAGGAAGGCTATGGTGACCGACCAAAAGGCTATGGTGACCTGGCTGGAAACCAAGCTTTTTTGGGGCTTCACACATGGAAAAAGATGTTGACTTCATTTGCGGCCAGTTGAAACATGCTGAAATCGATGATCAAACATAAATGAAACACATACGTTCCATGAAATGTATATATTTATCGATATTTGCACTTGATCTTGGACAATGTTGTTGGCTTTGTTCTTCATAGAACTTCATTTGGTTCTACCCATCCCACAGGAAAAAACCTGGCGGTAGAGAATCCCTATTTCCAACGGAGTGATAGCTTACCTTGAAGGTATCGGAGTCACAAGAACAGAAAGTGGGGAAAAATCATTGATGTTGGTGCATAAGAGGCCCTATATGTCTATTTTGCACTTGTGCTATTTTACCAAAAATAGATTAAACAAATTGTCCTTTACAGATATATATGCCCTACCTACCTTGTCTTAGTTGAGTTGGTTGTTACAAAAACGGTCTTTGCCGAAAGCCCTAAGTTTGGAGTGTCTTTGGACTTTAAGATTTCAGGATGGTATAGGAAAACAATGGTGGATTTTCCATCGCTATGATAGATGTTTAGCCTAAATCCACCTAAATCACAGATCTTTCGTACTACTGAGCTTTGTCATCCCAGAGAGCATTGCCGGAAAAGCGTGGGACAAACGGGCAAACCATACAAAAAACCATGGACATCCAATAAAACAAAGTTCCCATGTTTTTTCCCAGGATCACTTCGCTTTACTAACGCTAACCGAAGTACCATCCTTTTTACCAATGGCAAAAACAAATCCATAAACGAAAGTTTTCCCAAGAACAATGGTGAAAAACCCATGGAGTTCTCCATATTTTCCCCGTCACAACCACGGGACAATCCCAAGCAAAACATTGGTAAAATGATGGTTTCCTGAAATAGGGTACCCCCAGTTCTCATCCATTCACAGATGATTTTTCCATTATTTTCCATTATAAACATTCATAAACCAACAAAAGCTATGGGGCCCATGCCCCATGAGTATGGAAACCCCCGAATCCACACCATAATTGCATTCCATGGGTCAGCTGTTCTGGTTGGTGGTTTCAACCGACCCCTCTGAAAAATCATGGAGTGAGTAACAGTTGGGATGATGACATTCCCAACTGAATGGAAAAATAAAATTCCATGGTTCCAAACCACCAACCAGTAGTCATTCGAAAAAACACTACATGATGGCATTCCGATGCATTCCAGCTGAGTCAGCTGTTGGTCAGTCAGTTGGTCAAATCATCAAATCCCATATGCTCGATGTATGGTATATTTACCTACATTTGGGTGTTTTTTGGGGCAAAAGTTGGTAAATATTCCAGCACCATGGAGCATATGGGAATCCCAAGCAACTGATGAAACTTTCCAAGTTCTTGCGTCCAGTGTAGACCAATGGCACCGCTGCCAACAGTGCTCCGACGGCCTTCACCGGAACCCACGCCATGATGCCGAAGAGAAACTCCGCAATGACCAGGCCTTTAATAGGGCCCGTTAAAGAAACGTGCTGGGCTGGGTCTGAACATGGGGAAGTGATGGAAAAATCATGGGAAAATGACAGAGAGACAGAGAGAGCCAGAGAAAATATGGCAAAATGATGGGAAAATGATGATGAATCATGATTATCATGATTCATCATGATTCATCACTGAATCCTGAGGTACATCATTACCCACGTAAGTCATAAACCCTGTAAGTCCAACCCAGTGCCAGTTTCTCGGCGAAGTTGCGAATACCAAACAACACAGTCGAGCCGAATGCTCCTAAAAGTCCTCAGTGGAAGAAACATCAGCATTTCAGGCCAGGCTGAGTTGTGGGAAAGGTGCTATGTTTCAAATCAAACGCATCAAGTATCATCAAATCGCCTTTGCATTGCTCCTTTGCAACAGCTGTTGATAATTATGCCTGCCAGCAAACATGTGCTTCTTGATCGTCTTGCCGCCCGGATTTTTTGGGCAAAAATAATCATACAAAAATGCACTACGCATTGCCATGGTAACCCAATATATAATCAACCTGCGACTGGCGATGCTTTGCACGGCATTTTCTGATAAAAATGGGGATGGCAGGTGGCTCAGCCCATCACAATCCCATGAAATTCATCAAAAGGCTATTTATTTGGGTGCTGCTGGATCATCCTAACCTTGCGCATGTCTCTATCTCATCTCTCTCTATCTCTCTTTCCATCGCCTCTATCCAATCTGCACTCACCATTTATCTTCTAGCAAAATGCCACTTAATTGCAGTGCAAATGTTTGTCATAAATTTCTCCATTAGAATCATTTAGGGTCTCAAAAAGTCCCAAAACGACGGGGTATGGGTCAAAGTCGGGGCATTCTTTGTTGAAAAACCTGGCTAGCTCAAGTATGAATTACAGTAAGCCATCTATTTTGGGCATTGCCGATATTCACTGGCCCATGCCCAATGGATGTATCAGAAAATCGTGTGGACCAAAATTCACTGGTAAACAGTAAACACGGTAAATCATGGTCAATCATCGTTTTCGATATAATAATATAGCAATTTGGGCGATATGCCTACTGTTTGGAGACACACGCAAATCAAATCTGGTCTTATATTAGCCCATGTTGATATATATATATATATAGAACATGTGTATGCATATTATATATATATATATATATATATATTATATCCCTACTAAAAATCATGAAAAATCCACATCAAGTTGATGGTTTTCAAAGCATCGAAAAAATCCATATTTCCAAGAAACGAAAGAGGATCTCAAGCCATGGATGCTGGTCAGTGAGCTTCGTCGACTTCACCCGGGTCGTCACCGTTTGCTTCGGCATGGCACCGCGACGGGCGTTCGGCGGGCGTTCGGCTCGAGGTGAAAGTCACAGCCGGGCCGTGGATGATGTGCGTATAGTATATGTGCAACATACACACACACACCTATGTGTATATCTCTCCATTCTACAATATGTATGTAGGATGATATATATATATATTGTTTTTTATATGCTCATGCATGTGTATATGCAATGAATTTTATACTTTATACATGTGGGTAGCCTCTACTTTGGACCCTCGGCCGCGCCTCGGCCCCCTAGTTCAATCCACTCTACTTTAAAGGTCAGAGCTCTCCACAAAAAGGATGCAGTTTTTGAAGCGCTAATTCTATTTATATATAAATATATACATTTATCTGAATCTATCTAATTTATTGTTTTATTTAATACAAGCAAATATAATACATACACACGCACACACACACACATGAATATATATATATATATACATATAAACACACATTTTTTGGTTCAATGTATATTAAATTATTATTATTATTAAATTATTATTATTATTATTGCCATGATTATTATTATCATTATTATTATTATCATTATTATTATCATTATTATTATATGTGTTATTATATGTATTATTATATGTATTATATGTATTATATGTATTATATGTATTATATGTATTATATGTATTATATGTATTATATGTATTATATGTATTATATGTATTATATGCATATTACATATACATGTTAAATCATAGTCACAATATACAAGTATTTATTTGATGCTTATGTATAATACTGGGTTTATCACATCAATGGCCATGATTCTGGTGTTTTCCCAGCTCGTTTCGCCTTGACCAATTCTCATGAGCAACCGCCATGGCACCCGCGGGCAGGCCGGCTTCCGCCACCCTGTCCCTGAAAGAAACTTTCCGGGTTCAGAGAACACCCAGGAAAACACAATGGAAAGTAGTGAGCATCTGGATCTCCACTTGGGTGAATTAGGGACATCGTTCAAAGACAAACCATCTAATAACGGCGGACTTGAATCCTCCAGCTAGGCTGTCCCATTCATATCACCCTCTCTAGTGACCTATTGTGCGGAATGTGAATCCACATAGTTTCCAAATGAGCCTCTCTCAATTCAACATGAAGGATTCCAAATTATATTGCCACATTTTGGTCTCAAAACATCTAAACTGGATATTCCTCCTAAATTCAAGATTGAACAGGAAAACAGGCCTCCATGTTTGATGTGTTCTACTACCGGGAATATGGCCCCTGTTGAATTCCGTCTTAAATCTCTTTAAGTCGACGGAGAAACTGAAAAATATTGAAAACTTGATTACCGCATAAGACATGTGGACCTGTGAGCCATGCCGCAGGAAAGGTGAACGAACTTCCTGGTGAACAAATGACCGCCGAAGCTCACTTCACTCTGACGCCTCTTGGTGGCGAAGGCTGGGAAGGAAACATTCCGTTTAATGCGCAGATGTGTGCGCGCGAGATTGGCTGGGAGACATCCCGAGATACAGGTACGGTATATCAAGCATCTTAATGTGACTCACAATTTGGAGGCTCTCGACAGCTGCAATGTATATACATGTATATGACTGTATATGCCTTTCAACTGAAAGTCAAGACGATGTGACGATGTTGATTTTGTATCAGCGCGACCCAGAAAATTAATCTTCACATTTTTTTTGACAGAATATGAACAAAATCACAAACTATGGATGAAACATGATGAGACCATGGTATGTATGGTGCCATATTCTTCCATCTCTGGCAACTTCCAAGAAATATTCAAAATCAGAAGACAATAGGGACAAGTGACCATTTGCCACCCAAAAAATGGGAGTATGTTTAGGTATATCAAACATCCCAAAAAATAGGGACTTGTTCAGAGATACCGCACGTGACCAAACACAAAGCTCGCCAACCCCTCTGGGTCCTCTGGGTCCTCTGGGTCCTCTGGGTCCCCAAGCCCCATCCGGCCACCTTTGCCCTTCATGAAGGACACCTGGAAGAGATGTCGTTGTTGATGTTGTTGGCTTTTGACATGACCATCCAGAGGACATGATCTAAAATTGATATGTAGTTATCAACTATATGGGCTATTTGGATCTATCTGGGCTGTTCAAAAATGTTAGATCATCTTCAATTAAAAGTTTTTTTATAGCAAATCTCAACGCATTGAAACCTCAAAAAAATAAAAAAAATGCTAAAACCTTAGAATTATCTTCCATCTGGATGTGGGTTCTCCCACACGAAAAAAAAAAACGTCGGCGGCGACGGCAGCCACCATGACCCCACTGGGCCCCACTGGGACGCCCATCCACTGGCCATCCGTTCTCCCGAAAGAACTGGAGTAAGACCTGGGAACTTCCGGGTGCAACTACCATGGGAACATAGGGAAGATGAGGTTTTTGAATCATGGGATACAAAATGGGCCCCGGGGATTTCAGAAGGATTTGGGATGGCTTTTTGAATGAGTTGTTTTTTCCTGGAATTTTCCCAGGGACATGGCTGATGAACTCTGAACATAAATCAAATCAGTCCAAAAGTCTCCGCCGCATTGGAACAAGAAACGTGTGTTTGTCCGTGGCCAAGCGAGACTTTATATGATCGTTATGGTCAATGAACATCCATTTCCGACCCTTCAGGAAAAGGGTCGACGTCGAACAGGAAACGGACAGCTTGGGCAGCTTGGATAGCTTGCATCATCTTTCTGGGAAAAAATAAGCGAAATCTGATGGGAAATCCTGGCTTAAACAATTTTAAACATACAAAATCAAGCTAAATTCATCAAATCATTCTAAAATCATCTCCAATTCAGATCAGAACTAGCACCTTCCTGGACCCTCCTGGGCCATTCCCTTCCCAGAGCTGAGTAGTTCTCGCATGGCAGTTGTGTACACCTTGGAGTAGGATGGCGTGTCGCCAGTTCTTCGCTGACCGGTTTGAGGACAGGGTTCTCTGTCCAAGCCCAATCTCCATATTAGCTCGCAGAATTCTTTGACAGGGCTTAGTAAATATGCGGAAATTCGAAGATCGCCGATTGTTGATGACGTCTTCAGCAGATTTATCCCGGAAATTAAGAATATGGAACATCCCCCCGTTTAATGTCCAAACGGGTTTCCCCATCCAGCTCTTCAGCTGGGTGTTTAAGATCCATCTGAACGCATCTGAATTTCTCAGGGGATTCGATCCTTCCGTCGTTCCCCATTTTAGGTGACTTTCCCTCAATCATAGATGACGGTTGATGTATGTTCATGTTATAATATAATCCCTCAATAATAGATGGTTAAAACCAAAACTAATGTGATTAAACCATATTCAACCCAAAAATAAACCATCCCCAAGTCATCACCATGTTTACCATATTTGCTATCCCCAAAAATAAGCGTTGTTTATGGCATTGGGTTTCCCGGCTGTTCACAAAGATCAAGGTACGCCTCAACACCAGGCTGGAAAGTGGTTATGTGACAGCTACAGTATGTGCGCATATGTATATATATATATATATGTGTGTGAATTTACATATGTTTATAGCAAATATAACGAAAATATGTGAATATGTGTAAATATATGTGTATATATATATATATATATTTATGTCTGTGCGTGTAATATAATATAGTACTAAACATTATGCACATATATGCACATATACCATATATGATATGAATATTCTATATGCATTATATATAGACAGTGTGTGTGTGCATAGGGAATCACAAACAAGTGGCACATGAACTTATAGTATTATCATGTACTATCTCTTGTGCTATCGTGTGCTCAAACGATAGACAGATCAAAGTGCCAAGGTGCAACGCAATCAGCACATGGCTATTTTCCGCAGCATCAGAAAAGCGTAATCGGCTAAGGCTAAAAACAAGGCTCGGGATCCTCAAAGAATCGCAGCATGCACATGCAATTGAAAGAGTGGTACCTGGCAGCATGTGTGACAACGGTGGCTGGCAACAGAAATTCACACTGGTAAAATTCTCTTTTGGAACACATGTGATTTTTCTTCTCTCAATTGGATAATTGGTTTCTGAAGCCAAGCCAACAAATCTGCCATCAACTCTTCGCTCACCTTCGTGAGACAATCAGCCTTCTGAAGGGAGGTTGGCACCCAGTGAATGGTGCGGCTGCTAATCAGCTCTTGAATTGAACGTATGTTCACAAGACTTCGTTTGTCTTGGATGTTTGGATTGTCTGCTGCAACACAGTCATACAAAGACTTGCAGTCGGTGACTAGCAAGGTCTGCAGCTCCGGATACCAACTTGTGCTATCGTGTGCTCAAACGATAGACCGATCAAAGTGCCAAGGTGCAACGCAATCAGCACATGGCTATTTTCCGCAGCATCAGAAAAGCGTAATCGGCTAAGGCTAAAAACAAGGCTCGGGATCCTCAAAGAATCGCAGCATGCACATGCAATTGAAAGAGTGGTACCTGGCAGCATGTGTGACAACGGTGGCTGGCAACAGAAATTCACACTATCAAGGTCCTCCCACCTAGGTGTGCCATCTGTTTGTGCACCTTTCTTTGCGGGGATATAGTAGGGATAGGCTAAGAACAAAAGAAGGTAAATAAATGCCTATTCAAGCCTTACGACCCTGGTTGAGCCATTTTCAGGTGCATCAAATTGATAAAAGCTATATATATATACATATACCCTGGTTGATTGGTTGATTTGTTGGGATGTATACTAGCCAATTTACGGGGATTGTGATAACCCATAGTAGGGAAATCCATAAAACCTAAAGATTACATTGTGATCTATGAAATATAGTAGGAACATCTATATACGACCCAATATAACATGATTAATTATATTACCCTCTGGTTATTTAACATAGCCATGGAAAATGACCCATTTATAGATGGTTTACCTATTAATAGCATGGTGATTTTCCATGGCAAACTGTTAGTCATAACCAGAGGGTAAGTCTCACATAAAAACCACACACTGAGTCCCCCCACTGGCACGGTGTCCTCCGCAACAGCTCGACCAACTGCTCCACCCGCCGATGCCAGTCGTCACCTCGGCGGGTGCCGCCCCAGTCGTGCCCCTCCGGTCCTCGAAAATTTGGCACCGGAATTCATCCGCGCCATAAATGGAGGTTGAGAGCAGGGAAATTGTTATGTATCAACGGGAGATTTCGTAGCACGCCAACGTTTAAGATATAACAAGTACTGATATGTTCATATGTTCTGACATAGCTCGAGAAACCAGGGTTTTATGTTTGATGTTGACTATGGCATACTATGACATACTATGACCATAGTATAAAATGGGTCATAAACGAACTGAGCGAATTGAAGCACCACCTTGTACCAGTATGCCAACAACATGGCCAACTGCTTGGTGGCTTCGCCCTGCGAAATTTAATCTGGTTAGTCAATGATCTCATCACTATGATCACTATCATCTGGGAGCAAAACTAACCAGCCATAAAAAAGTTGACCCAGATACAAAATGCTGCAAAAGTCAGCCAACTACGGATAGGAGGCACTTCAGCTGCTGAGGTAACTTGACCGAATCTGCTGGTGGCCGCAGTGGTGACTTACCCCCTGATTCACTTGCAATTCCAGACCTCATCGTAGGTTTTCACAGCCTAGCCATCTAAACCGCTGGCACATTGAGTTCAGTCAAGGTGACATTGATGTGCCAACCAAAAACTGACCCCTTCCCCCGAATATTAACCACCCCCCAGAAACCGTGGTTTAGTAATTGTGGGGTTCCACATAATCATTATAATTGGGACCATAGAACGGGGGTGGTTAATGGGTGGATGGGATTAGTCTGAAATATATGGGCGCCGGTCTTCCAGACATGCTTCCATCCATATCCCTGCATCTCTCTTTGTATCCCAAGCCATCAAGACCCAGTTTTGCTTGTGCTGGAGTCATTATGTGATCCTCGCAGTGTGCAGAGGGATTGACATGGCCTTTAATTCGAGCAGGATTTCATTGAATCCATATTTTGCTCCTTAATACATTCACACATTCATCCCGACACATCCTAACTTTGCTTCACTGTGCTTGTACCGGCTGGTACGCCATCATCTGCCCTTGGTCATAGACATACTGTTGCTGCATGGCCGTCACGGGTTCGTACATCATGTACTCTCCTCCCTGCGGCAGTCCAGCATAGGATTGGGCCATGGCCATGGGCTGAAGGGGCTGAAGCATCTGCGGCGCATAGGCCATTGCCACGGAAGCCCCGGGGATGGCCTGGGAAGTGCCAGGATACACCAACTGAGGAGGCTCCACCAATGGCGCACTGGATGCAACGGTAGGGACCTCTACCTGATCCTCCTCCTGGCTGTGGGGGATAGGTGGAGCAATGGATTAAACAATGATCCAAATGGGAGAGCTTTTGGTGTTGAACTTCTTGTTGAATTTTTTGTTGGTAAATTGTGTTGAAGCTCCGAACGAAAAGTTTCACATAAAACCTGTGCAGAAGATTGTAGAAGAGCTTTGGAGTGGCTACCCGTGAGTTTAGTCCCAGACTTTTCGCTCCCAATTCAGTTTCATCAGGCAAGGGAGCCGGGAAAAGGGCGGAACGGGAGATCTGGCTAGCGGTTGAGCCACCATCCCAAAAACCATCACACATTCACCTAGTCAGATCAAGGTTCAAATCATGTCATAGCGACCCCCTTCCCCTTATTTCCTCCAAAAAAAAAAACGCCATTCCCCGCATCAAAAACTCCTCACGCTTCAGGCCACGCTTGGTCTTCTTCTTCTTGCCGGGCAGCATGAAGAAGGCACCCGCGGCCACAACTGCCGCCCCCACACCACCAGCAATTGCCAAGTTGGTGGCGCTGCTGTTGGATGGGGTGGCAACCTGGGAGCCGGAAATCATGGTTTATACCATCAAATATGGGAAGTGTCCTCGATTTTTCCCTTACACCAATCCAATGTTGATGAGAATCCATGGTGAATATGAGCACCAATCCACTGTAGAAGAACGACATCTTATTCTATGCAATTTGCATATCTTAGCGAACCATATCTACGATGTTTGCGCGCACATGTTTATCGACGTAATTTATTTGTACATATATATACATTTTATAATATGAATGTATATTGTAATATATGATACATCTAGCCAGGGTCAGTTGAACGAAGCAGGAGTCAATTGAAACTAAAGCAGGCTGCAACCGAACCAACGCCCACATCGGATGTTATGCTCCCAGTTATTGGCTTATAACCCCAGTTAAGTTCTCGGTGCCAAGATAACTGGGGATATCTACGCCGTGTAGTATGATAGTCATCTGTAAAAAAAGTGAGCATGTTCAATATACAATAATATAAAGTTGTAACCAAGTAAGTACATTTATAATTTATAGACTTTATAAATATATATAGCATTTTCTTGCATTTCTTTCGCCATCTTCGCCCAGGAACCAAGGTTTTGCCCCCTTCTCCACTCTGAAAGACCGCACCTCGCTTCAGATCTTGGCTAAGATCCCGGAGGATAAAGCCAGTGAAGATATGTGAAAAGGATTGAAAAGGATCAAAACTGAGGCAGGATCCACTTGAGTTTTGGGTCTGAGCCGTCACGCTAAGAGGCGGTTTTAAGTGTTTTGGGTCGCAGCCAATGTCAAGGGGATGGTCATCCCAACAGCAGGGCCAATATCCTTTGTGGATTGGTGGGTTAAGCGGTTAAAACGTTTGGGTGAATGTTGGGTGGATGTTGGGTGAAACAATGCCAATTGCACCATCCCCCAGTCATCACCATTTTTATAGGGTGGTTTATGGCATTGTTGTTCCCATATTAAGCATGTTTTAAGATGAAAATTTTGAACTGGGAAGTCCCCAACCCCCTCCCCAGGTGCCTGGCACGTCATGCCCTGCATTGGCCACGCCATAGCTATGCGCCGCAGCTGCAGGAATGCCATAGCCACGCAAACCGGCCTTGCCGCTACTTGCGGCTCCTGGGGCACTCTGAAAAAAAGGACGTGTTCAAAACTTTGAAAAAATCCTCACAAATGGTGATTAACACTAAGTTGTATATTGGGGTTTGTCATCTATAAATTAATGGCGACTTCATGGGCTTAGCTAACACTTTTTATTGACACTAATTAAGTAGTATGCTAGGGTTTTACCATCAAATAGTTGAATAGTGGTAATATGTGGTAGTTTGATGGGTTTTAATCAGGAAAAAAATATGATTTCACAGATTTTTAATGGGGATATCATATCATGGTTTATAACTAAACAACTATAGTTTATTCCCACCCCCTTATATAATATTAAACATCCCCGAGAAACCATGGTTTGGTGGGGATATACACATATTTAAGGACCCTTTCAGGGAGTCTTCAATATTCGGGGGGATGGGATTATGATGAGTTGATTACCATCTGGTTATGACTAACAGTTTGCCATGGAAAATCACCATGCTATTAATAGGTAAACCATCTATTTCTATGGGCCATCTATACCATGGCTATGTTAGTCATAACCAGAGGGTAATTAACAGGGTTCCCCGGAACGGATGGTGACAATCCCCAAATATCAAGGGGATACCTCGGATCCGAATCAACCAACAGGACTGAACGCAGCGAAAAACGCGAAGCCAACAACTCTGAAAAGGCCACCTGTGCAGGGAAATGCTACAGGAAACCATGGTCTTTTACAAATGAAAAGTGGGGTTTCTCTGCAGATGTTCCCTTCCAATTCTGAGGAACATGGTGCCAAAATTGCCTCAAAGTTGATGGAGACCCGGCAAAAAGTGAGCCTGCCTTTAGCTGGAGGGCTTGTCTTTAGCTGGACAAAGGCGGGTACGGGTACAGTAGTCTTTGTTTGAATACCTGAATACCACATTCAATCTATCTCAAACTAGCACCCACCGCCAGAAAATGCCTTGCATAAAGATTTAACCCCAGCCACATGCCCACCCTGACCCCTCTCCTGAAGCCGGTGGCACAGCATCAGGTGCTTCCTTCACCACTGCCGCTTCGCAGACTTTGGGGCCGCTGTAGGCCTTGACATCGGCCACTTCCTTCAGCGACGCAGTGGCCGGGAAGAGCCAACAAGCGCGGACCGAATCCCCCTTGAAGCTGAAGCTGTGGCACAAGGGACCCTCCTCACACTTCTTCCTGGAAGATTGTGAAGGATTGATTGAGGATTGTGGAGGAATAGATGTTGAGATGTTGAGAGGACTGTCCCAGTGATGATAGCAATCCGTGACAACCTTTGGAAAATCTGGCAGCGCAAGGCGCAAGCTCAAACAAAGAACAAACAAGCATAGCAAGTGCAACTTGTTCCCAATGACGCACCGTGTGCGCAAGGAGCAGTCAGAAAATGATGGAAAATGTTTCCGCCTTGTCCCCCTATTGTCACATACTACCACAGTCTACCAGGTCTACATGAGTGTCTGTCTGAGCAATGTCCAAAACCCATGTTGGTTGATGAAAAAGGGAATCAACACCTATCCAAATAATCAACACCTATTCAATGTATTGCGCAGGGATTATCCTTTTCGGGAATCTCTACAAGTATTAACCTAAAACATACCCTCCAGCAATGAAACGTAGTAATGGCAATTTCCCCGTTGAGTTAGATGATTTTGCCAGCTATAAACTTCCATGCCATTGGGGCATTTTCCAGCTAGCCACGAGGACACCGGAGGCTACACAATCATTTAGTTCCATTCTTATATATCCCTACTATTAAGTTACTACTATGATCGGATATCCCCATAAAAACCCATTGTATCAGATATTGTATCACTATTATGATCGGATATCCCGATATCCCCATAAAATCCCCATAAAAACCCATTGTATCCATATCATTGTCTGAACACTTCTCATCTGGATGGCGAGCTTCTGGCAAGCAGTCCAGCTCTGGACATAAATCGCTGGGGCTGGGAGCATTGGGTCCTGACACGAGCCGAGGCCAAGGCTTGAGGTCCCCACCTGCCCTTGACTCGACCGACAAGATCATGCCTGACTTCAACATTGATATCTATTAATATCTGTTTATATAATATATATATATATATGCATTAATAATTGATATTTGTTAATATATGTTAATATCTATAAGTCTATATTAATATTTTATTATATATTATATAACCTTCAAAAAATCAAGGGTCCTTTTGGGATCCTTTGTTGATTTCTGGCACGATGGCTGGAATCTCCGACCCCGGAATTCAGAACTAATTCAAGGGAAAATATATGGAGCCATCTGGCTGGTGAATGGATGGTGAATGGATGGTCTTCTTTAATACCTTCAACTCAGCCCAGTATCCAAAAATAGGGCACTAGAGTCACTGGAAACCATTGGAAACCCCATTCTAGGAAAAGAAAGAACACAAATTTTGGGGCCAACCCCTCGTTTCCACCTTGGTTCCCCAGCTCCTGTGTCAGCACGGCATCCTTCACACAGGGCGTCGATGCTAAAGCAACCACTGGGGCCGTCGCAATCAGCCAGCGAAGCATCACTGACGCCCGAACACCAGGGGACTGAGGTGAAAAGTCTTCAAACTGCGGCCAGAAAGATGACATCGTCCCATATCAAAGGCCCAAAGGCTGTAAACCATCTACGCACCCAACATCACCCAACATTCAAGACCAGATTTTTTGATATGCCAAAAATGCAAGAATAAATTGCGGTTTATTGATGGTTCTACTATGTTTTACTATATTAGCTGCTAGCTGTGAACATCCTGAAGATGAAAAAAGCACCGCACCATTGAGTCGCTGACTGCCTTGCAGCCACCTCACATTCTCCACTCCAATGCCGGAGGGCCTCTCAGCGAAGAGACCAACGCTGTGGTGGTGTTTTGGCCACCTCCCACATGATGATCATGATGGTGTCCAAAGCTGGAAACTAAGACCAGCAGCCAGGGCCGCAAGGGCCGCCTAGCGGCTGCTAGGAACCCAGGCAGACCATGGAAATACTTGGTTTCGACCACCTGTGCTGTGCCAAAGCGCTCGATCCTGGCAGATCTCAGGTCGGGCCAGGAGGAAACTAAGCAAGCGCGGTTGCCGTCGTCGTTTTCGTCATCGTCATCGTCATCATCATCATCATCATCATCAAGAAGAAGAAGAAGAAGCAAGCAGAAGCAAGCAGTGAGAAACGAACAAAAACAAATAGAAACATGCAGAAACAAGCAGCAACGTCGCTGTGAATGTTGCCAGAACAAATATTCTTATGTTGTCGTAGCGGTCCCCTTTTTTTCCGTGCCCAGAGAGGTGGCGGTTTTTTGGGACCGCGATGTCCAACCTTCACAGGCCACGTCCCACCCAGAAGGCGGTTCAAGGCGCCCGTGGGAACGCTTCGGATTTGATATGTTAAACGGGTCTCAGGTGGTAAACCAACTCTGAAGTACACACGGTAAACCAAACTAAGAACAAAGTTGCCAGACTTGATTGAACATTTTGGAACAGGGCAGCCCAACCTCCGAATTTTGGCTTCGAACTACTCTATCTACGCGCGACTTCTTGTGCTTCAGAGCTCGTCATGGGCGCAAAGCTCATAGTCAGGCCTCTTCTTTGTCCTCAGCAGCACTGGTAAACCTACCGATAGCATCAAACAACTGTCACTAACTAGTAGCTGGATCTTCCCATTGTATCATATCCATTCATATCCATTATTATCCCAATCTGGACTATATAATGATATAGTAGAATGTGGAAACCCTATGGCAAAGCATGGACAGACATGTCTTGGTCAAAAAATATATCATCCGATCCCAAAAAATATGAGTCAATATGAGTCAATTAGGATCAATTAAACATAAAACATCTCATCTTTACCATGGTGTTCTTATCAGATTAGCCTGCCGATCCCTGAGCCGCTGGCTGCTTGGTGAAGAGATACACATAGGTGGTGCACCTTAAGTCATCCCAGTCATCCCGACGCGTCGGGCTTTGAAAAAACTCTGAGCCATGGGAGATCATATCATCTGGTGGTGCTGGCTGACCATCTTGAAAAATGATGGAGTGAAAGTCAATGGGTTTCGGATGACATCCCTTTTCTATGAAATGGAAAATAAAAGATGTTCCAGTCACCACCAACCAGTCATGGCTAAGATTCGTTTATGATGGCCAAGTCATGGGAAAGCATGGGAAAGCATGGGAAAGCCAGGCTGGAAGATCCCGCAAGGTTCCACTCGGCTGCCATCTGGTGAGTTGACTGTTACATCGCCATGGAAAGATCCATCATGCTATTTATTGAACGGTAATGCGCATCCATTTCGATTAGGGCCATCGAAAAACCATGGCGAACTGTTAGGAAAGTAACCAGAGGCTATAGAAAAATTGCAAAAGCTCACACCAAGCGATGATGGATGCTGTTTGATGGTATTCAACTTTCTGCACCGACAGTCAACAAGATCAGTTTGCTATCAGTTGGATCATTAAATATTGAACATGACGCACTAGTTGATGCTGAATCGTTTTTGGCTGGTAATCAACTATATACTCTCCCTATATTCTTAAGTAATCAACTACATACTCTCCCAACCACGTTGCTTCCCCCCCGGATTTCGACAAAAACTCGACCTGGCAGCCTGAGGACGGGACAGGGCCACACGAATGAAGCAGGCGGTAAGGATGGCATGAAAGAACCTGTGGCTTCACTGGTCCAGCAGTGGTCCAGCAGTGGTCCGCGACTTGGACGCAGTCGCTAGGCAGACTTGGAAATGGGGGATCTACCAGGATTCAATGGGACTTAATGGGATTAAATGGGGATATGAGATCATAATAGTAGGGATATAGGACTTAATGGGGATACAATGAGATAAGAATAGGGATAATGATATAATTGTGGACCTAATGACTAAATAATGATGATGATATATGATAATTAATTATGGAAATCATGATGGACATTGTACATAACTTTCTTATTTATCGCATATTAACTTCTTCATTATTCAATTTCCCACCTTGTTTTCGTAAAAGTGATACTTATCTCGCTTTATGTACTACCATTATAACTGATATAATTTTTTCTTCATTCAATTTTTAACATATCTGCAATTAATTGCATCTAATGGTTAGTCCCTTACACTCAAACAACTATATATCATGGCATATCATGGCTAGTCGGGAAATCCCCGAAGCAAATGGAGGTGTTCATCGGGAAATCATCAAACTCAATGGGGATTTTCCAGCACGCCCTGACTGCCGGAGGGTGGAAGGGATTGCTTCTTGCACGCCCCTCTTGAAGGTAAAAACCATGGCTTCCCGAATGGGTTCTACTCTTAAAAGACTCTTAAACGAAACCATTGACAAAGAACTTATATACAGCAAAATCCGTGATACAACCAACAGAAAGAAAAGAAAGAAAGGGTTCCACGGTCAAGAAGGCTCCCTCAACCAACGCAACACGATAGAGCCAGGGTGCGTATGATCGCCATCCTGGTCAAACTCTCGATACCCTCAGCATTCCAGTCACATGGAGGGCCCTTACCATTCCAAAAACGACCAGCACTTGGATGTTACCAAGTAACACCTGGGACTATAAACCCGACTTGGGAGATATGGGGAATAGTAAGTAATGAGAGCTCAGCAAAATGCGCATGGAAAGTGAGTGGACGAGGGTTTTGTTCAAACCTTCCCTTTAACAATACAGAACATTTAAAGACATTTCCCAGCCTTCACAACAAACATCAACCATGGGTATAACCACGTATAACCCATGGGTATAACCACCATCAAACATGGGTAATGGGTATCCATCAACCATCAACCCCATAGCAGGTGGTCAAAATCCACCATCAACCGACCGTCGGGTGTCCTTTTGATAGGGCAAATGGTACCCCATGAACCATCCACTGGTTGAGCATCAATGGCCACGCCACTTGGGGGCTGCAGTTCCAGTTATAAGTGGACATACAACTACATATATATATATATAATTATATATAATCATATCATATATATTGATATATAACATATATATATAACATATAACTAGTACATAATCATAGTTGAAGTGGTTATATCCTATAGTCCTATGGTGATTCGTTCCATCCCATAGGTTCTACCCATGAAATCTTCACGACTCGAGTCACTGTCTCTGGTCACTCGGCCCCAGAAGGCGGTGAAGACTACGGCCGAGCCCAATCTGAGAAAGGGCGCGGTGTCGAAAAGATTGTTTGGCCATGGGCAACAAAGTATACCCTCTGGTTATGACTAACAGTTTGCCATGGAAAATCACCATGTTTAATAGGTAAACCATCTATAAATGGGTCATTTTCCATGGCTATGTTAAATTACCAGATGGTAATTGCCTTGTTGAGCGGTATGTGAAATATCATGTTATATCATGGTCCCGTGGAAAAATCAGGATACGGCGATACGGTTGCGTATGATTTGAGACTCCCCATGAACCACCATTGAGAAGGAATTGAGCCATCAAGCAGCTACTATCAGAAATGCCAACTGCCAGGAGTTTCATGAACAGGTACATTTTGTTGTGGGGGGCGGGCATTACTGGCTAAATAAATCTATAAATATAGGAAATACCTCAGCCACATCCCCAAGCTACCCAGCCCTGTCCCCAGTTTTTAATTTTTTCTCTCTCTCTCTCTCTCTCTCTCTCGCTCTCTATCGCCATCTCATGTTCCCAGTTGCACATGTGCGATTCTTTTCTATCTTTTCTCCATGTCATAGCTTAGAAGTGATCGAATTCTGGTCCCATACTGGAAATCACGAGGCCCGGAGGATTAAATTATGATGCCATGATGCCATGTTTGCGATGATGTCCTCTAAATACGGTCCCCATCAACAGGGTTTGAGTGGTCCAACCGTGGGCTGGGCATTCGCCAAGCAGCGTGAGCCCAGCGAAGTGAGCAGCACTTTCGTCCACATAGCAAGCACCCGTCACCAATAGGTAGACCTGCAAAGGACCGGCCGTCTCTCTGGCCCGATTCATGTGGGAAACCCCTGACGGACATAAACCATGGATAAAATGCCACCATTTTTATGGGTTGCAAGCATCATCCCCAAATGGTAGGTTTATGGCATTGGGTTTAACAAAACCACATTATCGTCAATTCACACCACTAAAAACTGCAGTTTTTACTGGCCCACACCCCATTTCCTTGGACAAACCCAACAAGTCAAAGAGCACAACGTGTGGTTCTCCTTGAAAATCTTGAAAGCGGACTGCAAATCAAGAAGGGTATATATGCCCGGGTATGCCGAGGATACGAGTCGCTGCTAGTGTCCAACTGACTTCATCATCGTTCGCGTGGGTCAATCCTTGCAGTTGTTGAGTTGAACAAACTACTCAATGACTATGTTTGGGACTCTTTGCATTTCAGGGTTGCGCAAACAAGACCCACTGTAACTGCCTTTCTTTATCCAGCTGGTTGAAACTCAAATGAACACGAATGTTTCTTCTCTCATATCGTCCCGGTAATTTTAACATCATAAATTAAGCAACATCGTTGGAAACACAAGTAATTTATAATGATTTATACTTATAGGCCTAAGAAATCACCAGAACTCTCTGGTTTCCAACCTTCACATCCAAAGATCTCAAATGCCACCCGGCCTGTGGACCCAGTGCAAAGGCCTCCAACCACGTTGAGAACATCCAGCCTGGAAGCTGAGCCAGGCCGCCATTAGCATGTTTTTGGGCCCAGAAAAATCAGCTGAATGGTGAGGATGGTGTTTGGTAGATGAATGGATGGAATAATGTCGTGAATTTGGAGTTGGATTTTTCTAGATTGAAGTCTTCGTCTTGATTTCTTTGATTTCTGAATGGATCTTTGGTAACATTTGATAACCAAGAAAAATCTGGCTTATACACTGACGTCATGGTGTTCACCCCCCCCAAAAAAAAAAAAAAACATGCTGCCAAAAATGTCGGGAGATACTGGCTGAATGCCAACTGAAATGCGGGCAAAAGGCTGAGGTCAGCCCAGTAGTCGTCATGTCCCGTGCTCTTGGTAAAGTACCTTCAGCGCACGGGAAACTTTCGGGGCTTATAGATATCTTCAAATCCTCATTTACCTACATAATCATCCATCTGCATATATTTGGTGGGTATATTCAATATTCATCAATATTCATATAATGACCATCGGCCCAAAGGGCCTTATTGGTGGAAGTTACCTTTTTTTTTCCGTCCCTGGCCATGGATTTTTTTCGCTTAGTCCTTGGAACGCTACCCTAAACCCTTCCCAGAGATCTCTTGAGCTGAGCTGCGCCAGCACGGCCGAAACCGCGCCTCAGCCAACTAATCATCCCAGGCTGGGCTTGGGAGGGGGATCTGAGATGATCTGAGTCTCACTGGTGTTTTTTCAACATCACCCAACCATTAGGTATATGGTCTATAATGGCTACTATAAGGTGATGTCCAATATACCCAAAATGGGACAGTTACCAACCCCTGTTTTTTTTGGCCCCCGAAGTCGTCACCGAAAGACGATAGAAAAAAATGTAGGGCACAGGAATCTCTGGAGGAATGTCATCCATTTAGGAATGTTTAGGGGTCACCATACCAAGCCAGAAAAGTGCTGGATAAGACTCTAATAGTTAGGCTCACATTGGTAATTTGATGTAATTTGCAGCTGTCCATGAAACTTGACATGTATTCGTCCCAGACAATGTGAAAACCCATGGCACCCCTCTGAAGCATATGAAATCATTGTTGGCATGGGTCAAAACATATTAAATTATTAAATTATCATATGTGTTCATAAGGGTAATAGTAAACATCCATTAACCAGCTATTTTAATGCTATTTTGGGGTACCATCCGGGCCCCATGGTTTTGACAACAACTACTGTAGAATCCCCCAGCATCAACTGGTTGGAGACATCCCGAGCCACACATGGCGATGACTTGGCTCCATCGTTCGATGCCCTGCCCCACGTCCTGATGTTCGCCACTTGCTGTGGCTAAGGCTTTAAACATGTTTCGTTGGGGAACCACTGGGGGAGAAGGTTCTGGAAGAATCATGAAGAATCTACATGACATTTCATGAACTGCATCTAAAAAGATGCAGTTCATGACGTTTATGTTCATGGATAAAACTCGCCCTCCATGGCAATCGCGTGCACGTCAACGGCCTTCCCCCCCGGAAAATTCGATATGGAGATATATGGAGTCATGGAGCAATAAAGAAATTAGAGACTGCCATAACACTGCCATACGATGGGTTTCGCGTATGAAATATCAAGCATGTTCAGTCTTCAAGTTGAACCCAAAAAAATGGTGGTGGAAAATGAGTGATTTCATTTTGAAAAAAAAAAGACATCATGTTGATGCCACCAATCTGATCTAATATGCCACAGTCCACACCCCGTCCACTGGGGGATCGCAGAAACTACATATGGAACTTCCTCGTTTGGGCAGTTTCCACCCCCGTCTTCGCCCATTGGGACCCTGGGATCATCGTGCTCGGTCCTGGGTACTGCGAACAGCTGTGAGGCGCATCACCTGCATCGAGCTGCGTCCGCTGGGTGGTGAAACCACCATGGTTTCCTGCAGATAAGTTCCCGAAAAAAACAATCCATTGAGGTTGGCCTTTTTCACGCACCCCAATCATATCAATTACCATCTGGTTATGACTAACAGTTTGCCATGGAAAGATCCACCATGCTATTAATAGGTAAACCATCTATTTCTATGGGCCATGTTCCATGGCTATGTTAAATAACCAGAGGGTAATTAAGGCTTCATAAGGGGGTACTGTAAATCTAAGTCACTTCTTCACGTTTGAAGTTGAAGCGTGATCTAGCTTCAGAATTCATCCCGAGAACCAGGAGCAAGGGTAACAAAAAGCAGAACAGGAGATGGTCAAAGTGTAAAAATCGATCTACAATCGAAGTTGCTTCGTGGTGGGGCCACCAATCCCAATCATTCAGTCGTCAATTGGACATCGTAAGGATTCCCAACCAAGATGAGGTCCACATCTGTTCTAGTGCCACCAAAAGTAGGAGCATGGGGTCCGGTCAATGCATGCAGATGTAATTACTGTGTATGCCAGTGTGGGCATGTATTTTTCAACAACCAAAAAAATAACACAGTCACATACATATATATATATAATATATTATCTCTCTCTCACCCAATATCTCACTATATCACTATCTTTTTGGTGCTGATTTGCGAGCTGTATTACTAAAAGAATATCACGTAAGACCAAATCCTGATGCCTTCCACGGCCCACGGTTTGCGCGACGCGGTTGGATGCCGTTGATCATTTCCGGTCTCCGCTGGGATTTCCGTAGCTTTTACTGGAGGGTATCCTCCCGCAAACTAACAGTTCGATGTGGAAAACCACGATTTATAGATCATTTTGCCAGGGTTTCTCCATGGGTTTTCAACATCCTATATTAGTTTTTTCCAGTTTTCCACGGTGTCATCCATATTTATATCCATTCATAGTTTTTTTTAGAGGTCATGTTCCTAGTATCCATTGTATCTTATATCCATCTTATATCGATTTTATGTCCATTATATCCATTATATCTATTTTCTTATCCATTTTATAACCACATATGGAACATTATTATATCCATCTTATATCAAATTATATCCATTGATCATTGGAGATCTTTTTTTGTATCCATTTAATGATAGATCTTCAATACAATACTTCTTGTTGCTACACGTTTCCAGCCCAAATCCCCCAGGGCCTGAAAGACCACGATGGCCACGCCCAGCAATTCCAGGCCTTGGTACAAGAAGACATCGCCAGTGTTGTCCTGGCGGTGAACCCGGTGGCCCCAAAGTTTACCCCGGGGTGGACTTTACCGCAACGTCGAGGTGGTTTAGTTGGCTGGTCAACGTTTACATAACGAATTAGAAAATCACATAAAATCACCATTTTATCCATTTTTCATGGGTAAATCAACGAATAAATTCAATAAATTCAATAGCAAACTGTTAGTTTACCAGAGGCTAGTTGGCTTGGTAACGAATGGGTGCTCGTTCAACTTGGGTAGCAGAATCTGATGCTTCACATGGGTTTTTATTGGTTCATACGAAAGATATCGAAACATATGCAACTAAAATCTGGGGACCATGCCTGATTTTTTTTGTGGATACCTAGGGGAAACGCTGACATTTTTGTTGTGGAAAACCCCGTGGCTTGAAAATTTTCAAGCCGAGGAAAATGATCCAAAAACATGGGAAATTCCTTGATACGAATTCCACGTACGTATCTTAGGGAAACGAACATAACTACGGAAAATCACCATTTTTAATGGGTAAATCCACTATTTCTATGGCCATTTTCAATAGCTATGTTAATTTACCAGAGAGTAACTAATGTAAGTTTGGGTTTATGGTTTAGTTACTATCTGGTTATGACTAACATAGCCATGGAAAATTGCAATCACCAAAGGATGTCCATCCGCCCGATGGAAATACAAAAGGATTGTCTTCGCTGTGAAACCAATATGAAAACCACATTCTTGGGGTGAAGAATTTTGAGGCCGGTCCATGTGACATGGTATCGCGCACCCTGAGACCCTCTGGCTTACAACATCATGTTTATTCATTTTTGCCATTGAAATTTGCAATTTACAGCACCCGCCATGTTTTGAAACCGTGGATCAACAGCTGAAGCAGCAGCTGCTAAGCAAGACTTTTTCAGTCTCGCCTTTGTGCCAACTTTCGTTGGCTTGAGCCATTTTGCAATGGCAGTCACATGTCATCCTTGCGCAGTGGCCATGCTATGTTTGGTGCATGCCACCACATGTCAACTTCTAAGTTTTAAAATCCACAGCAGCTGGTGGAATGCTTCATGAATCGCACTCCCCCCCGCAGCTTGCTGCGGAACATCAAAAGTTCAGCCAAAATGGCTTTCGTAGCCCGGCTCTCAGCAGTGCTTCTTCCAGTCTTCATAGTTTTCAGGGCTCCTCCTCATTGGCATTGACATCATCGGACTCCTCATCAGTCACCAGAGCCCATTCTTCGACCAGCGGTTGGTAGGATCTTGGGACTGAGGGAGCAGCAGGAGTAGCGCTCGAGCTTGAGGAGGGCACCACAGCAGTGACACCACGTTGAATGACGCCACCACCTCTATTGTAGCCCACAGACATTGGAGCTGCAGACTTGTTGTACGGGCTTGTCGGACCCGCAATTGGTTCTACCTAGAGTTCTCGGGACTCAGCACTGGACATAGTTCCTGTGCCACTAGCTGCAAGACATCCATCTAGGTACAGCTTCCCGATCAAAAGGCCAGGTTCACGGTGAGGTCTTTGACGCCTCGGAGTATGCATTTCATAGTGGCGTCCCACATGCACCTCGAGGTCATCGTCATGGGTGGACTGCTGTTGAGGCCAAGGGGGCCCAGCAGTCACTGTTGCCGGTTCCAGCTGTATGTTCAGGTTGAGGTCATCCATGGTTTCCATTTTCATCTTGAGGAACGTAAACCCCACCCACTGAAACTCAGCTCGAACCACAGGGTCACTCCACTGGTCGGCGACCAGAAAGCCTGGTCCATTTCTTCCATCCACATAGAACGCCTTTGTGATGCGCTCACCTGTGAGGAATTTGGCATCAACTGGCGCACTTCGGTGCAAGGGGTGGAACCTCTGTTTTCGGGCAGCTCTATGGATTCGCACCAGGTAGATGCTTTGGTCACATTTGGTTACGGACCATCCATCTTTCTTTCCACTCCTGCTCGGGGCGCCAAAACGCTCATCCAACCATGGACCTTGTTGAGGCATTTGGTCAAGTTGAGTGCCTCCTGCCTTTTTCATGGCCTTTTCTGCGGCCAGGCGAGCTGGAGGGAACTTTGGCATAGCCCCTATGTAAGGGTCTTGTCGTGCTCGAGAACCATCCGAGCTGGCAGCAGTTGAGGTACCCTGCAAAGCGGCAGCACACTGCAACATCATTGGCGGCGCCTTTCGGCGTACAGCAGCAGCAGCGGGCACCGCAGCGGCTTCGCCTGTCGTCTGCGGCGGCAGCGGCGGCGCAGGTTTTGACATCTTTGGGGCCATGGCAGCTAAACGCACGGCCGGAACTTTTGGGCAGCCCGTAGGGCAGTGGTAGGTATCAGCCAACGGTGGCTGCAACAGTTTAGCAACATGTTCAGAGTCACCACCAACGGACTCAAAACTGTTGTGCGCCATGCCACAGCTGTTTCCTGCCACAAAATCCCCAAAACCAAGACCTTCTTCAGGGTTACTGTCCCAAAAATCCCTTTCACTTTCATAGGTTCGGTGAGCCCAAAACTGGTTTTTGAGGGGTTCATCCCAAACCTTCCCAAAACTGTTTTCTCCAGGTTCATCTTCCCTTGGAGATCTCACACATTTTTTGGTTTTTATTTGAGGATTTATGCCTCCAGGTTCATTTTCCCTTGGAGGGTTTTCTTTGGCCGGTTCATCTCCCCTGGCATCTTTTTCACTTTTGAGGCCGATGGCTCTTGATGGTTTTTCCACCTCCCTCCCGTCTAAACAGATCTCTTTGGATCGATCCGCTGATGAAGGCGCAGGGTGCCAGTTGCAAGCCAGCCATCCAGCGCATGCAGCAGCAGCAGTAGCACAGGCCAGCCGCACGTCAGCTCGCCCAGCTGCTGAAGACGCCACAGCCAGCGCAGCCATAGCCACGATCACCTTCACCTTGGTCACCACATCATCAGATCCCTTAGTTTCATCAGGTCCTGAAGTGGCGGTTGTTTTGGAAGACCATTTGGAGGTTTTTTGAGGTGTGTTTTCGGGGTCATATTTGGGGATTGACGCATCGACATGAAACCCAAGGAAATGCCAGAACTTAACCCAATCCCTCAACAACGTGATTGGTTTGGTGAGCATGTCAGCGGGAAGGTCAACTCCCCTTTGGTGTCTGACTTTCCATGTTTGGGGGTCACTTTTCAACAACTCACGCAAGCAAGACGAACGAAGCCTCAAATGGCGTGTTCTCCATCCACCATCAGGGTTCATAAGTATGCTAAGTGCACTTGAATTGTCCCCATAAATAACCTTTTCAAACCCATCAAAACCATCACCCGTGTTGCATGAACCATGGATAACCTTCAATAGGGCTTCAGCAGATTTCAACATTGCTGTGGCTTCGCAGTATCCAACCAATTCGGATTCCGCTGTGCTCATGGTGTGAAATGCCTGCCGAGTTGCCTCCCACTGAATTGGAGATCCTGCAGCACATAGAATGATGCCCTGGTGACTGCGGTCACCTTGAGGAGCGAAGCTGATATCGGCAAAGGCCTCAATGAGCTTCTCATGCCTTGGTACCTGAAGTGTGCCATGTGCACCGTGGTCCTTGTTGCAAGGGCGGTACAGGAGGCAAGTTTCTGGGGTGTTACACAAAAACCCTAGCACGTGTTGTCCCAACTGTTGGACCCACCTTGGTTTTCTAGTAACATTTCTTCCCATGACACTTACAGCATAGGCTATGTCAGGCCTACTTCTCACAGAAAGCCAAAGCAGTTCACCTGTGATTGCTTGGGCTGCACGGACATCAGGTGTTGTGATATCCGTTTCATCCGTTTCTGAACTGTCCAGTTTTGGCATGGGGCATGACTTTGGGGAAACATGTTCATGACGTTTCAACAACTCAGCAGTGTAAGACTTTTGTCCTACCATCAGACTCACCCCATCATCATGTCTTTTCAACTCAAAACCACAAAACCGGATCCATTCATTTTTGTCAACAGTTTCAACATCGGAACATTTCCATTCCTGTTTCAACCGGTCAAAAAAGGAGTTTCGAACATTGTCATTTGCAAGAGCCATGATGTCGTCCACATAAACAATAACATGACCTTCACATGTTGGTTCGGCATCCCCATGACCATGTTTCATGATTTTCCACAAGTTCCCTTCTTCAGTTCTTTTGAGGGAAAAGTCACAACCATCCATCTTCCATGTGAACCCACTCATGACCTGATCCCTGTGCACGGCCCAATGTGCGGGGCTTGAAGTGAACCCATACAAAGCGTTATGAACTCTCCACCGTTCAGAAGGGCTGCAAACTTTGGCTTCCACAAGTATTTTTGGGGGCACAACAATCACCTCCCGGGCATCTTGAGGTTTCGGCCGAGGAGCAAGGAGAAATGCTGTGCGAATGTCGGTAATGCCAGCGCCCCATCCCATCTGCACGGAGTGAGCCAGTGTAGCTCTGATCAGAATGCCATCAGCGCCAGAAGCGTAGAGATTGCCCGGAGCAGGATCCAAGTCACTTTGCAGCAGGTTTCCACAAACTACTGCTCTACATTTCTTTTTTCCACCATTTGGACCCGCTTTTCCAACAGTCACAAGTTTTCCAGGAACAAACTCAACCGCTTCTTGGTTCAACATGGAAAGGTCAACAGGTTCAATGGCCTTTGTTTCATGGACCAAACTGTTGTATTCTTTCATCATCGCATCCTTCCATTCCCCAAGTTCATTTCTGACTTCATTCAAAGGGATTGTGGTTGTTTGCAAGACCTCCCCCGGATTCACGGCCATGACATCATCAGTTTGAAGGCCACACATTTTAATAACCCGTTTATTTTGGGCATCACGGACCAGGAACAAGTCATTTTCCAACCGTTCTTTTTCCCCTTGAAGCCATTGGATATCAGCCCCACAAATTTCCCCAAGTGATTTCGTGGTAGGAACAACATCCAACAGGTCTTGTAATGAACTGGAAATGGTTTGATGTTTCCAACCCAAACATTTTTCCAAACAATCCAAAGATTCCAACTTGGCAACAACCCTTGATTTCGTCCCCAAACCAAAATTTTCAGGGTTTTTTG